TTAAAAATGATCTTTGCCAGATGTTCTGATACTAAAATAAGCAATAGTGAGCGTGTTAAGTCAAATACTAACAAGAATGGCCAGAATATTGTACAAGAAAGTATCTCATAGAGATGCAATAAAAACCCACAGACTCTTACTGAGGTGCTGTGCAGGGTCCTAACAGACCCTGCTGAGGGGCATGCAGCAGCATGAACGTTGCCTACACACCTTCCTTGTCTAATCTGTACAGTCTCCATTTTGGGAGTGCACTTGGTTACCACTTCAACCTATTACTGGTTGCAGATCAGCAAAACTCAGCACAGTGACTTTCAGAAACCCAAGATGCTTGGTCTTGTTGTCCACAATGGCAAAGACCACCCAAAAGCAACTGATTTTCTTGTCCTGAAAGTCAGATGTCACATCATACTGATTATCATGCCATGACTGTACTGATTCTGAGGTGGTTTTGCCAGTTTTGTTAGTGCCCTAAAATCATTTGTTAGCTGTTGTACCTGTGCTTCCTGACTATCCAGAAGGATCCAAGTTGAAAACTTAATTAACTGTAGTAGGGCCTGGATCCTAAAGCCCTTCCTCAAGTAAGTCACTCCACATTTCCCAAAAGGCTAGTTTGCTTATAGCAAATTACTGCTTCTCACTCTCTGCACATAAATACTTCTACAGAAGTTACTACTGTTTTGAACACCAGGAACTGCCCATGGAATTTGTCTAAGCTATTCAAGGGATTAGTTGCAGATAACTGATGCTCTTCTGCTCCATATCCAAGTAAGGGTAAAGCATCTCGGGACAAAGCTTTTACAATCCAGGAAGGAACAGAGTTGTAAACAGAAAAATCTAAAAAATGGTGTTTCCAAAACTGACTGTGATCCATGTGACACAGCATCTGCTTCTCCCAGGAGATGGAAAGCTCCAGAAGCCGGGAAGCCCTGGTCTGTGTACATAGTATGGCTGCCCTCAAACCTTGGCCCTTGGAAACCTCAAGTCATGGGCAGACCATCAGGAACCCAGGCAGCTTTCCATGAAAAATCTGTGATTGGAGTAGATTCCACTGAACCAGAAAATTTCCATAAAATGTCTGTGGTTTATCAAATTAATACCTAACTCTGTTTTGCCAGACTATCAGGAAAGCATTAGTGCTGCACTTCATACTAAGTTACTAACCCTTCATGGAAAACTTTTTGCCATACTGTTTCTTCACATGCCCTGTCAAATGGACTATGGTTCATGGAATATGTGAACTATACCTACACGGAGTTCTAGTTCATTGTGAATTTTTATATCAGGCTGTACTACAGATCTGAATTGATACAAATCTTGTTTGTATAGATCAGCAGTTCCTCCTAGTACAAGCATCTATCTCAAACATAATCTTAAAAGCAGCATTCAAGCGAGCACCTAGGCTGAATCCTGAAGGAAACTTTTCTATTGCGTTCATTGAGGCCAGGATTAACCTTGTGCGTATTGTATGCCAGTGAAAAACAGCCTAGGTACACAACAGAAGGTGGACAGAATCCAATGTTTGGAAGAGAGGAATGCTTGGATATAAGAATTCAAGCATAGCCACCATAGTCTCCAATTGCTTTTAAAAAAATAATTGTTTTGAAGCTAATCCACTTTTGATACAGTTGTATTCTGTTGCCTGCTCGTAAAACCTGAAAGATTTCTTCAGCCAGGTTCAACCTTTAAAGCTACTTACAGGGTAAGTTCAAATTGACAGCAAGTCACATGAAGCCTAGGTTGCATGTCTTAGCCCCCTGCCATTACCCAATGCTAATGTTGGGGATAAATCAGTGCTTTCCATACTGTTATTTAATAGTCTTATCTTGATCCCACTAAAATCGCAGGCAAATGTAAGCATGCCTGTCAACTTCTATATTGGAGCCTGAACCCTTAGAGAATAAATGCCAACCACAGAAACAAAGATACTTCCTTTCCAATTGATGCTATAACATCTTTACCCTGTATGTTTTATATTGCTTCCACCGACATGCTGTGAATGCCAGAAAGAAAAGCTCAGATTGAACCCAGTTAATTAAAAGGATTCACACAGATGGTTTGCCTGGTACTTTACAGAGGCAGCTAATTAAAGCAATGTTAGTCAGCACCATTAAAATGCCAGATAAGGCTTTGGGAACAATCCTGATTATTAAGGAAGGTTTACAAATAGAGCTTTGAGCAATGCAGTATATTTGCAGTTAATTAATCTAAGTCTAACATACCTTAACTAAGGCACAGATTAATGCATGCTGATATAAATATTAATGCCAAGATTTTTCAGAGTTCGAACCTGGTGCTTATTAAAACAATCCACAATGACTCTAATTTCACATTCTACAGGAGAATATATCATGAGGGAGTCTGAACTCTTAATTAGCCATGATTTAAAGAGCACTAGAAAAGAAACCGAGGCAAGTCCTGGTTGTAGAAAGTCAGTCACACACTAGCAAAGGCAGAGAGAGAAGCTGCACCAGACAGAAATTATATTTAGACATGCAGTATAAACAAGGCTTCCTTGCAGTTTTAGACAGATGCTGTATTTGGAGATGATCAGTTGTGCTCTCCAATATGCTGTCTCCGATACATGACCATATATATTTTTTTGCAATAACAGTAATGTGGTCTTGATCTGAAAACAACTTCTAAGCCTTATTTTATGCAACCAAATAGGCCCATTCACTTAATGTGCTAAAAGATAATCGATATGCACAGGTATGTGCAGTATAGGACCTAAACCATGGTCTTATTCCCTGTAATTTAAACTGATTTTTCTCATAATTATTTCATCAAATAAGACTTCAAAATAGCAATAGAATTTCATCCCGTATTCCAAAGATAGGCAGATGTACATGTGTTTTCGGCTGCATGCTATGATTTAGCTGTTATAGGCCTAACTTCTATGATCAACTTAAAAGAAATATAGATGAAAACAACTACCTACTGCAACTCTCCACTCATTTTCCAAGCAATAAAAATGTCACCATCTTCCTTCCCTTGTTTAGAAGCCACAGTTTAAAGGCATTTGGTGATTTCATAATGATCTGAGCAATGTGGCATACACCAAGGTAAACCTGCAGTAAAATTTACTCTCTTCATCCAATACTCTGAAGAGTCACGATGAGTCACTCAAGTATTGATCTTCGCAAATGTCAGACCACAAGCCAAACACTGCTTTTGGACAGGCATCCCACGTGGGCACAGCAATGTCCTGCAGAAGCTGCCGGAACAGGGCCTCATATCCAGACAAGAACCATCTGTATTCTCCTTTCATTTCCATTTCTTTCCAGTTCTGCTCTTCCAGTTGCCTAGGGGGCAAGGGGATAACTAATGGTTTGGCACTGTCTCTGCTTTCTATGAGATGACTCTTGGAAATCCCAAGAAACGATGGTGATGTAAGTCTCTTGAAGAGAAATTAAATGTCAGGCAAGGAACCCTAAAAGGCTAACTTCTCCTGCCGTTCTCCTGCAGAATGTTCTTTGCTGACCCACTAGACTCTCAAATACTGTAGTACATGTATGTTCCACAGCCAGATTTGACATTTGCCATTCAAAATATTATTAACATTTGATGGACCAATGTAACTAGATCTATGCTTTTATGGAAAACTCTGAATGTCAGTGTTTGATGCCAGTGCATGCCAGCAGAAAACTGCTTTTTCACTTGGGCTCCCAGCTGAAAAATGTGCATTCTGTGGTGGCACAGTTTCACAAAAAAGTCTCCCCGGGTTTATCTGATAGATAATGAAAGGGGCTACAGCAAAACCTGAATTTTCAGGTCAGGTTTCTTTTACATGAAAGCCCAAACACACTGAATGAAATTTCAGCTGCATTCCTAGAAATTTGCAGTGATTCAGGCTCCAGAGAACAAACACTCCACTGTTACTTCCATAGAGCTCTTGTTCAAAATATCTTTTCCCATGCTGAGATGCTAAATTCATGTGAATGTAAATATATAGTGCCAGATTCACTAACCAATAGGTATCAAGTGACTTACATTTCATAGGTAAAGTATAATCCCTTTGCACAGTTTGTTAACTGCTAATAGTTAAACAATCTAAGGGATGTTTTAACATAAGGTATGGATAGCTTAATGTCTCAGAAGAAAATTTAACCCATGTGGTGCAGAACTTGATATGATCTTGAGTTGAAACAGGAGGTTTCAGGGTTGAATTGACACTGCCATCTTGTGCACTTTGTCATATGCAGTGAGTTCTGCAAACAAAATTCACTCAATTTGCACATCTGACATTAAAATGCATGTCAGAGAAAAATCACCTTTTGGGTGGCTTTTGAAGTCTGCCTTTGACAAGTTTTGACCATTTTAAAAACAACAGCAACAAATTGTGAAGGCCACTAGGAACAAACACTTGCATAGTACATAGTTTTCTCTTGACGCAGTTCCATCATCAGTATCACTGCTCCTCTGCCAGAAGGTTTGTGCCTGTTGATGGCATGGAATCATGCATGCCCTATGGCACAACCTGCTAACCTGCAACTAAGTCTTCTATGGGTTACAACACTACAAATCATTAATAAAATGTTACCAGTACTAAGAAGGGGGAAACTATGCTAGAACACTGCTATTGATAGTGGGATTCCGTGTGTATACAGGACCTACCTAATGCTTTCTTTGTTAAAGCATGAAAAAGCCATGTAAATATAACAAGTGGGCACATAACTGCACCCATCTATCCTGATACCAAATGCTACAGCAGACAGAGCAAGAGAAAATACAGCAGCATGAGACATGGCCATCAGTGCTGTCATTGCAGTTGATCATCAACATCCTAAGATTAACTGGGACAGTCAACTCAAAGCGTGAATTGTTAAAGTTCAGCAAAATAGCAGCATGAGAATATCACTTATACTTTGTAGCATGACAAAACTTGTCCTTTTGTAATAAAGATAAATGAGGGAGAAGGGAAGCTTTTCCTCCCCTGTATTTGTGATATTGCAAGTTGTCAAGAACATTTGCATTAAGTGTTCCTTTCCCATTGCTTCCAGAAGACTCCCTTTTCTCAGCAAGCAGCAAAATCACTGGGAAATCCTGTGAATACAATGGCACCACCTACCATCATGGCGAAATGTTTGTGGCAGAAGGGCTTTTCCAAAACAGGCAAGCAAACCAGTGTGCCCAGTGCAGCTGCTCAGTAAGTAACATGATTTGACAGAGCCCTGCTCTATGCTTCATTTCTCCTTTTTAGAAGACATGACACTGAAATATAAGCAATACGTAGCAAAGGCTGCAAATTAAGAATCAATGCTGAAACTCATGAGAGTCATCAGAGCCAGTCTGCAGCACTTGGTAAATGCCAGGCTACCTCTTACCCAAACCCAGTGGACAAAGCTTACCCTGTCAAGCATCTGCCATAAGTGAGCACACAGTGCAGAGGCAGCAGGTAAAATATTGCTACTTGGCATATATAGAATATTTCACTTCAACCTGACTGGAAAATATATCACTAAGCCACTGACTGAATTCATTTGGACTAAGCTGTAAGTAAAGAGCCCCACAGGCTGGGAGTGGACAGCTCTGTAAACTGGCACTGGGCCACAGAGCCATTCCTGAGATGTCACCAATTCAAATCTAGTATATTGGAGCAGTCACCCAGTGACTCTTCAGAACCAGTGTCTGAACCAAAACATCCCTCTCAATCCAACCAGCTCTTCAGTATCAAGTATTGGAACTCTGGACCTCCTCTGATCAAATCATCATCATATTCTACACTAACTACAAATTTAACAGGCCAAGTACTGAACAGAGTTTATGACATTTAGTTACTGCTAAGCTATTCCTCCAGTTCAATGGTAAGACACAACTGAGGGAGAGCAGGGGTGAGAATTTACACTGGGTGATTTTAGTACCAACAATGTCAGGTACATTTTCAGCCTACAATAATTGCAGTTCTTCTACCCACCCACTTTTACCTCTGCCTTTTTTGCCCTGTTTTATTAAAGAAAGGGACCTTCCTCTGTGCAACAAGAAATTTTCAAAAGCTATTCAGACTTTTCATTGGTCTAATATTCTGCTTTTGCATACTAGAGTGGCATTTATGTAAACACACGTACTAGACTTAAGCATGTCCATAAAAAATGCCTATACAGTACCAGAATAATCAATGACTCCTCCTAAATTCTCCTTGTGTTTTACTGGCAGGAAGGAAATGTGTACTGTGGGTTGAAGACTTGTCCCAGATTAACTTGCTCTTTCCCAGTTTCTGTTCCGGAGTCCTGCTGTCCAGTGTGCAGAGGTAAGTTCCAGTACCATCACAGAAGGACAGGCTCTGAATTTACTCCTTCCCCTGCCAGAGCCCTGTCTGTGCACCAGCACTGCCACTTAACGACACTATCTGCAAGTTTCCCATGTACTTACAATCCAACGCATGTTGGGAAATTAAACCTCAAATTCCAGCAGGGTAACTTTGCTGCTTTTGTTTTCCTAAGTTGAAACAAGGAGAGAGTGCACTGATGATAAAGTTGCATCCCCGTAACAAGGTAAATCAAGGCTCCAAATGATGTATTGAAATAGCTACTATTGCTCTGGGTAGAAAAGCTTTGCAATAAAAGAGGAGCTTCTACCAGACCTGCTCAAATTATGCAAGACACAAGAATTTCAATTTAGAGGGTAAGGCCTATTACTCCAGTTTAAATTAGGTGTCAATCTGTACTTGGGTGACTTCAGTATTTTACTAGCAATTGCATTTTAGATCTTGTACACACACAGGGAACTTGACCGTAGGAGCCTTCCCAGTCTTTCTGAATGTCTAAACGTAAACGCCTGTCTAAATGTCTGGAAATTTCTAAATGTATTTTATGTTACTATTAGTATTGTGGCATTTGAATCACCACTTCTAGGATATTTAAGTACCTATGGCCAGCTCTCAAAGATGCAGATAAGCACCTAAAGGTACCTGTGGTTTTCAGAAGTACCACTCTAATGAGATCAGTGATGCCAGGCTGGTTTGAAAAACTCTCCTGCTTGCACCTTTGTGCAGCTATATCCTTTTGAGATGCTGCTTGTGTCAACTTAGTACTATTGCATAGTAAAAATAAGGAGCGTTATATTGTCGGTTGTATAATTTTGCCTATGATGCTACAGTTGTGAAACACACACTAGTATAGTCCCACAACCCCTGTCCTAAGGAGTTAACTCAGTACACATGCTGGACCAAAAGCTCTGAGCAGTGAAGGGGCTGAGCCAGAAAGAGGGTACTTCAGAGTGCATCAGTGCTTAATAATGCAGCATGATGCAGGATAGTACAGCACTCTTTGAAGGAACAAGCTCCTGGATAGAAGCTGTATAGTCATGTCAGTGCAGCAAGCTGTCTGAGCTACTTAACCTGAGGAGATGCAGTGGTAATTAACTTAAGTATGGCACCAGGTAGGACCTGAACTAATCTATCGGCAGGGCAATGCTGTGTGCTGCCTAAATACATCAGCTCAGTCAGAGCAAGGATGAGGATCTCTATGCAGTACTCCTTTGCATGGAGATTGTTCCTCATTCTTTGCTGCTCTGCCACGTTCCTCCACACTATCTTTATAAATCTTGAAACATTTTGCCAGGCAAACTGCTTATAAAGCCTTCTGATCTCAAGCACGCAAGGTGATAGTCCTGGTTTCCCAGAGTGAAATTTAGTGATATACTGTTTTAAAAGTAATACATTGACAGTTAATTAAAGTAAATCCTTGCTAATCATCTGATTCCTGGTATCTGTGCCCTTACAGTTATTTGAGCTGTATTTGAAACCAACCTCTTCCAGTTACAAAAATCAAACTGACTTTCAAAGTATGAAGTATCAGACATAGCTATGCTGTAAACTAGCCATATACTGGAGAAATCAGTCACTTCAGCCGGAGAGAGTCACTAATGAGAACCAAGTTCATTAGAATTGCCATTTGAGAGGTGAGATTAAATTGGATTATGCAGTAGAGACGACCTCCACTGATGCAGGGTTTTTTTAATGTATTCCACTGTCTATTGCTCTTATTTTAAAATGTTAAAGTGATCATTTTTCTCATAATCAACTTTGTCCTTTTCAATATGGCATAAGCTGTTTTATCTCCCCTCTGTGATTCTTATGAAATGGAAACCTAAACAAAATGTTTGCATCAAGATATAGCACAGCCTATGGGGAGGAAACTGAGAGTCAGTTTCTGCTCCCTGCATGGCCAAATATATTAACATAATACATTAAAATTTGCTGATTTTCCTATTCATTCCTCTACTACTGACTAGAGAAGGCTCCAAGCACTATGGTTCAGATGCTGATTTATGTCAGGATCCAACTTCCCCTTAAAGGGAAAGTTCTCATAAACAGCAGAGAGGATAAAATGCTAATACATGGTATGCACTAAGGTAGTGCATCCACGATGAATCTGATTGAGTTAAATCTGGATGAGTTAACTCCAGAACTGGAGGCATACCTGCATCAGCACCATGACTTTCCCAAGCCAGTATCACATGCTACTACTGCTGCAGCAGCTATCCTGCTTTGAGGACCCAAGCCCATGATCTGTGCCATTAATGTAAGGCTCCTGATGTGGTGGTACTGCTCTGCATTCCAGTGTAATGCTTGGCACATCTAGAGCTAGGCTTTGAGCCACTAGCAAAGCAGTCTTATCTGTACCTGCATCTGAATTCCAAGGCTGGGATAAATTCCAAGCTCAGCTCCACACTAAATGATTTCTCCTGTTCTTGTACAAGTTTTCCAAGAATCAGGTATCAGTTCAAGTTCCGTGGCTTGTCTTATCAAGGAACACCTCTAAATACATCTCTAAAAACTTCTTAAAGCCACATTCTCTCTCTAGCCTGAACTCATTTTTCCCTGCTAAAATTTCCACCACAGCTTATGCTTAGTTATGTTTGTATTTATGAAGTTGTCTTTACAAAGAAAACAGCTGGACACTACTCCTGAATAGAAACTGAGGGTTTCTTTTTCTTTCCAACCTTCCTTTCCATGAATCACGTTTGGCTCCACAAGTCCCTCACACTGACTCTCAAAAGCATTCATTACTTCTGCATCACAAATCACAAGTGCTCTAGCAGAACCTTTTCTCTTTTAAAAGACAAGTCAGAATGTCCTTTCTTTGTTATGAGTGTCCTTAGTGCTATGAGCCTTATTCTGTAGTACTTTATTGGCCCGATTCAAAAAAGCAGTGCTGAACATTTTATACTCTCTACATGCAAATATAGGATCCTATGAGGTTAGATGGGATCCAGTCTTAGTGGGCCAACTTCTCCTACATCCTTCCATAACTCATTGCATGTGCCTGACTTCCTGGAAGAGTTGCTGTTTTGTGTCTAATGAGTCAGGCACTGAGCATGGCCATCACTTCTACTTATGAAACAGTCCACCTTTGACACACACAGGTGAAAGCACCTCCCTGGTTTGTAATCATACCTGGGGGTGAATTGTGGCTTAGCAATTTTTATTAAATGAAGCATAAATAAGAGGGAAAAAACAACCATATACATATGGGGACAGGAAATTTGCAGGACAAAATATGGCTTACTTTTTCTTGATATATATAATACAATGTTATTTATTAATGGCTATACTTCAGGATTCAATTCTCAGTCAAGTTACATGTCAGTTGAGCAACAGTAATTGTGCTTGTGGGTTCCCTCAGCCCACAGCAGATGTAAGGTCACACAATTTAGCCTTTCTCTGTGAGCTTAGCTAAGTCATGTCTCCTCACCTTTGCCTGAGATCACATAGCAAATGGTTGCTGGAAATTACCTTGCCCATAGCATATTGTTAAGATGCATAAATCTGATAGTAAATCTTCATCCTGAGTTTGCATGATGTTTGGGAAGGGATCTTCCTTTTGATCTCTATAGAATCTAGTATAATAAAGTCAGACTACAGACTGACACTTCTACACACTGATGCAACCTCCACCCTAAATTTAGCTGTAAAGCTGGATGAGACTTTTCCCTTACGTATCTCCCAAGGTGTTGCACAATTACTCCCCTAACCGATACTGCTCTGCTTCATGTACAGGAGATGGAGAATTATCATGGGAACATTCCGATGGAGATATCTTCCGGCAGCCAGCCAACAGGGAAGCTGTAAGTGTGACCTACAATTTAAAGACATAGTTTCCTGCTGTTCTGTGCATGTCAGCACATTGGGGAAAAAAGAGAAAAGGATGATAACAGGTCTGGATATCTACTGCTTCATCCTGAGTTCTGTGAATCTACCCAAAATAGGTTTCTTCCACTTCTGCAAACCCCTTAATAAACTCAACCTGAATTAATGAATAACGCCAAATTATAAACTCCCATGAGCTCCTGTGGGCTCTGGATTTGGTCTTTGTTTGCTATGCAAGCATCACTTTTAAATCATAATTGCAAACACTTACTTCCCAGTTGACATATACACATGTATATATTTACTTTAGGGGATTCACTATCTCTGGGGCTAAGAGTATCCATTAACAACTTACTCCTCAAGAGATTATTTTTATAACAGCATTTGGAGAGAATATGAAGAGCTTTTAAGCATTAGGTGCACTACCTAAATACATGAACCAACAGGTCTTTGGATCAGTGAGAAGAATCTTGCCTTATAAAATAACTGCTGTAATATACACTACTCCTTCATGCCCATGGGTATTTTGGAAGATAATTCTCTGAAAACAACCAGTGTTATTTGCCCTAGAAAACCTGCTGCACACTAGTACTACTACTACTACTACTACTACTACTACTACTACTACTACTACCACCACTTTCCTTTGCAAATAAAATGAGACCTCCCGGTCTGTGACACAGATTTTAGTACAGTTCTGCTCAGTCTGTGCAAAGCTAACCCTGGCCTTGCATGAGAGTTTAAAGCTGCAAGCAAACACAAAGCTGGACAGTTGTTCTGGACATGGTCTGCCACTGGTGCCTTAGTAGAAAGCAATTTTGATGAGGAAAACTAGACAGGCTTACAATTCTTCTCATCTAACCTTAAAGTAGAGTAGACAACAGTAAAGTAGATACCTAGCTCTGAACACCATTTTTAATACATGGAGCAAAATAGGCCCTTCTGGGTTGTGATTCATCTCCTCATGATATAGAGATCCACAACAGGTCAGGTTCTAAAATTGCCTCTCTGTCCTTTGACTTGATTAGGAACTTCAGATGACCAACTCAGATAAAGACACCTCACTGACATATATGTCTGCTGAGATGAGTTACAACTGCATATGTGTAGATGACTTCATTACCACGTTAACTATCTGCAAAACCTGAATGGCCTTTATTTAGTATGGTGCCATTCATTACATTTAATGATGTTTGATGATAGTGGCAACACTCTCGTTGCCTGTGTTAAGCTTCTAGTACAGCATCTTTCCCCATGTTCATTGGAATGAGACATTCACTTTCCTGCTCTCTTTCTGTCTCCAGAGACACTCATACCATCGCTCCCACTATGACCTGTCACCCAGCTCTGCGAGGCAGGTAGTCAACATTCCACGATTTCCCAATGCCAGGAGTAACCGGGGAGTCCTACCGGATCCCCAGCAAGCTTCAGGAACAATAGTACAAATCGTCATCAACAACAAGCACAAGCACGGACGAGGTAAAGACGAATACTTCTTATAGTATTACTCTGGGTCAGGAATCAATCACATTCTCAAAATAGGCAGCAGAATCTTGGAAATTCACACTGGTATCAAGAGACCCAATGCAAATCAGGGAGACAAAAAGCAGTAAACTATTAAGGATACAAAATTAGCTCCTGACTGAGATCAGTTGTGTCTACACATACAACAGTGCATTTCACTCTGGAAAGGCACCACACTATCGTGTTGCTCTCTGAATTACTTTGTGGGATTGTGCTACGTCATTCTGAGAACACATGCAGTGGTTATCAGGGAAGTGAGCACTTTGTGCGATAAAGGACACCACAATACCTTTAGATTCGCTAACTTGTTCACACAGTAATTTGTCCAGTAGGAAATTGTTCGTGGTTATTTTCTTTACACCGTCTCTCCTATTTTGTAACTTCACTAGCTGCAAACAGTGTATGTTTAAACTGCCCCACAAATCTCAGACCATAAAGCTTGCCATAGTATCAAGAGGTTTCCTGCCTCCAAGGCTTAGCAAATTATTCTCAAGAAAGACAATATAATGACTTCCCCCACCTTAAGCTAGTTGTCTGAGACAGTGAGATGCAATGGGTGCTTTTCCTCCTCCACAACTAATAGTAGAGGCAGAGTAGGCAATTAGCCTGTACTGGATGCCTGAGCTGTAAGAGGCAAAGTCAACCAAGGTAATGAATCTCACTCTAAGAATTCTTCAGTGCCTTCTGATAATATAATATAGGACATACTACATTATGGGGACAGCGGAACTTAGAGCCCATATGGCAAACCTTATCCAGGCATGACTAAGCCATATTCCTGCTGCATTACAGGAAGAACAAAAATAGAGGAAAAATATCAATTCTCCAGTTAGTGGGACAGCAGGTTTTGTACAATAAAAAGGGTGGGATGCTCAATTCCCAACAGTGGGTGTACCTCAGTGAACAGAGGTCTGCAGGAACAGGCCTAAGAAGCCATAAAAGGAATAGCTGTAAGAACGCATGTTCAGAAGAGCATCTAACCACAAATGCCAGTCCGTATGCACTTAGAAACTACCCACAAAGAGTTAAAAGCCCTTGTAGTAGGGCCAACTAATCGTTTAAGGTATTAACTAACAGAAGGAATGTTGGCCATAGGATCTTTATTATCCACCTGAACAAGCATGAAAAAACATTCAGATCATGCCAGTGTTTTATGCTGAATCTAGGAGCAGGAATCTCCATGCAGTGCAATATCTTTGACATGTAATTCACACATGAAGACATCATCAAAGCAATTTCTAACTGATTTGTTTCAGCAAATAAAGAGCATACAGACGAATAGCATATTTCTGGATGCAGTATATAGTAACTGCTGCAACTTCAGACATTCACTGCCTGGAGAGTGTCTGAGAGATCCCCATGAAGGAAACAGGAATGCTGACCATACATTTTCTTTTGTTCTTGTGCAGTTAACAAGTGTTTTATTAATTAATGCACATGCCCTCTGAGACGCATTTAAGCAAGTTAAAAAATAAACACACAACAACTATCCTGACATGCAAATACCGTGCAGTTGCATGGATACAGATTTATCATTCTAAATATGAAGAGCACTAAAAACAGGGCATCAGGGAACTAGAAGTTATTTGCCATATTTTGGCTTCTACTGGAGGCTTCATCTGCTACCTCAGAGTAATTATTTAACTGTTCTGTGCCAAACAAACCATTAAAACAGAGAGAATATGTATCTACACAATGTCATGTATTATCCCTTCCCCTGTCACGGAGAAATCATGAAATATTTATGTCTATAAAGGATCTGGAGAACTCTAGCTGGTAAAAAAACCCTCCATATAAGCATAAATATAATTAATAATATAGTATTTAAGCATGTGAGAAGCCTGCTGAGCAGCTGAGTACTTAGCAGTTTTGTCATTTAGTTTTTTCTCCCATGTTCTTAGCATACAGATAACACTTTATTTGCTTTTATTTGAGAAACAAAACTGTTTCCTACCTCTAGAATAAAAACCTGTCTTAAGAAAGAGTTAAAAAGTAGCAAATTATAAACCAAATGATAGCATAACCCTATGAAAGACAATACATTACAAAAAAGACTCCCCATAAATCTCAGTAACTCAGTAAAGTATAAGCCAGTTGGTCACATCTGTTACCAGTTAGATGTAAATTTCAGATTACAGATAAAAATTAAATTGCTTTTGAAAGTTACGGGCAAAATAGGAACATATTTTACAAATAAAAGCATTAATAAAAATGATGGCATATTAGAAGAATTGGAAATATTTACAACATATCCCAGCTTCACTTCAGTTGCTTTTAGAAATCAGGCAGTGCCCTTTCTTTCACCTTGTTAGGATTAGTTTGCATTTTTCTTTGTGTTTATTAAATATTTAAAAAGAAAGAAGCAAGGTTTATAGGACAAATGCAAACATGGTGTAAAGTGATATAATTCCTATTAACTGCCGGGTGACCCAAACTGGCTTCCACCAGGCATGGATTTTTCCACTCTCCTTGTGTCAGCAGTATTTCTCTGTCTCCCAAGGGCACTGATGAATAAATATTCTGAGGTGCTTAGATGCTATTGGAATGAAATTTCAGTCCCATATGCATTCTTTCATGTTAATGTTTCCTTGTGATTCCAAAAGCCAAATGTCTCTATATACCTATAGACATATATATTTCCACAAAGGACATTAAACTTCATTTTGCAACATTCCCTTGCTTTGTTCTATGTGTTGTGTAGCAGGAACTCTCATGCAAAAGCAATAAAAGGCTCAGGTGGCACTAATCCATCCTGCTGATAGCATGGCTCTCACTGCAAAAGCCATGTTCAGCTAATGGAAGAAAAGTTTTGCAGATGACTCAGTAGCAAATGTCATGATCCTGTCATCTGCAGATTCAGTTCTAGAAGGCAGAGCCAGTGTAGCACGCTGTGTCCTGTGTGTGGACCGAGATTAGGAGGGGAAGGAGGAGTGAGTTTTATAAGCTGGTTAATGATGCACAACTGAAATGCATGCACTGGAGAGGAGCTAGTCAAATACTTGACTTGGCCACCTTCACTGTTCTCCTCAAAACAGTGATGGACACCACTGTCAGCAGAGTTGAAATCAAGGCAAAACTGCTCAGAAAAGGGGGATCGCAGGCTCAGACTCATTTTAAGTAGCGAAACTCCAAGTTAACAAGCAGAGAAATGGGCCAGAGACACTAACAAATTATGCATAGAGACACCGCTTTAAAGAAATGTGCATGGATCAAATGAATATTCATAGAGAGGTAGCCAATGAACATACCTTTTCCAGTTGTACTTTTTCTTCCTTTTCTTTTCTTTTGTAGTTTGTGTTTCAAATGGCAAAACGTACTCACATGGTGAATCTTGGCATCCTAATCTCCGGGCCTTTGGAATCGTAGAGTGTGTGTTGTGCACCTGCAACATCACCAAACAAGAATGTAAGAAAATTCATTGTCCAGAACAATATCCCTGCAAATACCCTCAGAAAGTAGAAGGAAAATGCTGTAAAGTCTGTCCAGGTAAAACAAAGTTGATCACAGACCACCTTTTTGCTGTGCATGTTAAGGGGCTTGGTTCAAACCTTCTGGTCACAATAAGATCTAATGAAAATAGCAATAGCTGTGCCCATTGTTCTAATGTGTGTGCAGACGTCTCCATGTGAGAAAGGCAGAGATGCCTGGCCAGCCCTGCTCTTCCCTGCTGTTCCTCAAATGGGGGGGCTTGCTGCTTGGGGCATGTATGTTCTGCTCAGTCACTGCCTTTCTCTCTACTGTTAGCATGACTTCCTGACACTCATTTCCAAAGAAAGTACACAGAAAGTTCATTACTGTCAAAAGATTCTCCCATCCTTCCCCCACTCCAGTGCCCACAGAACCTTCAAATCATTTTCTAACTTGTGAAATTTGCATGGAGATAGTATCATTTCTCTTTTTTAAAGTGTACCAGAAGGATTCAAAATCTGATTATAAATTGATTGGTGGCAGTTATGTAACTTAATCCTTAAAATAAATACTAACTTATCACAAATTTAGCATTGTTTCTATGCTGCACTAATGATTAAACTTATGTAGACATTACTGGCTAAAATCAATGCCTACAACTAGTGAAAAATCTGCTAATATGAATCTGCTGATGGTCTGCCAAATGACCAGCCATGTTGCATATGATATAAAGGGTAAAGGAATGTCCAGTTCCCTTCTGTGCCTTTAAACTTCTTTTCTAATCTGTATGGCCCATTTCTATGTTTGTTTGGTGATACATTGGGTGGAAATGAGTTGTTCAGTCATACATAGAAATCCTTCATAGAAAGCACACTTCCCATTTTCTCTTGCTAGCCTTGCTTACTGGGAAAAAGGACGATGCAGTGGCAGGTGGCAGGCAGGACGTGTGTATCTACATCCTTTTGGATACTTGTGAATCAGAGAGCCACAGCTTTTATTGGGCTCATTTGAGATGAGAACAGTCAGCTGGCTAACGGGCTTCAATAGAAAATTTAATAGCAAAAAGAAAGTTACTGTCTTTTTCTTTGAGATTCTATGTGCCAATTATTAAGAAAGCTGAACCTCTTCTTGCAGTGTCTTGTATGTATGGAAATGTATTAGTTATTAGGGTTTTTCCACAAACAGGAGTCCGAGTTTCTGAGTTGCATCATCTCTCTTACATTCTTGTCCAACGTCCAATTACCAACAGAATAATTACAATTTCTACTTATATGCTCTACAACTTTACGAGGTGGGCAAGAGATAACGTGCACTGTGGCTAGCTCAGGCTTGTACTGGCCAGCTGGCTGCTGCCAACCAAAATGCAAACCTTGTAGGCTCTACCTGCCCTTTTCCTCAGCAAAGCATTGATTTGGGTCTCTTCACTCTGTCCAACCACCAATTTTCATTTATTTATTTATTTTATCACCTCTGAGACTGCTACCATTATTTCAAATATGCTTGAAAAGTGGACAACAGGTTCAAAAATTGTGAGGAGTCTCACAGACCACATGGTTTTACACAGTTCATTTCCTTATGAAACCAGATTATAAATATGAATATTACCTTGCCACCATAGACAGGCTGTCAGAATCTAGCAGAATAAAACACTTTTAAGTGTCTGGGCTTAGCTGGAGATGGATTTGTGTGGCCATACAAGTAAAAATTCTACTTTTAAACTAAACCTGCTCGGCTACCGGTGCCAAGTAAGTTCTGGAGGACTTGATTACAGCTGTAGTATGTGTTTTGGGCTTTTTTTAAACAGAAGAAGTGCCAAGTCAAACCTTTGACAGCAAAGATTACTTCTGTGGGAAAGAGACATTTCCCGTCTATGAATCCATTTTCACAGAGGAAGGAGAAACCATCAGAAAAATTGCAGTAGAGACTGAAAAGCCACCTCAAATAGAAATACATGTGTGGACAATTAGAAAAGGTGAGTTGAGCAAGTTCTTTAAACAGTGTATCATTTTCCATTAAAATCCCAGGACAATTTACAAATCCAAGCATCTTGAGACTGCTGTTCTTCTGGCTATTTACAATATCCCTATTACAGCCACTTCCAACATACTCAAGTCTTGCTGTACAAAAACCATTAATAACAAACAAAACTGTAGTTCTGTAAACTCCTACCCTTCATTGTGAGCCAAAGCACAATGACAAACAGGTTGTCAGTAATACCCTGTGTAATTTATTGCAGAGAAATATGTAGCAGGGTTTGAACCAAGTGCCTGGAGGTTCTTATTTAGGATGGACCAAAAAGCTTTCCATTGAAATCAGTCTGCCCTGTCTGCCTTAGTGGTGCTACACTCATGACGGTCTAGAATACCAGCAAAAAATGTATTAAGGATGGAAACAGTATCTTTTACCAGACTAACTGCTAAAAATAGAAAAAAATAGAAAAGCATTCAGAAGCCTAAGCACTTCTGCAAATCCTGAACTTTTAGTATAATAAAAATTATCTCCAGCCTCCTAAAAATCCTATCTACTTAATCTACTTTAAGCAAAAAGCAGGTGATCCTCATAGGAAACCCTCATATAGTGCAGCCCTTTACAGAGAAATGATGCATGTCTAGAATGCACTTTAAAGCACAAAGCCAAGCCCAAAGTCTGAGCAGAAAGGAAGTCACAGACGATCGGACAGTGAATAGCTACCGTGTGTGTTCAAGAAGCCACAAAGCCTTGTGATGATTTGACAGTGATGTTACCTGCTAGCTCATGACAGGCATAATGGTATCTGACTGCAAAATGATACTGTTTTTCTCCAAGACACTGGGATTTGGGCTTCTGTTGTAATCTTACATTTACTCATTCTAAGGAAGGGTTCAGTTATGTTGGAAAAGAATTGGCTAATTCTCACACCCCTCATAAACTCTCCGCAATTGTATATCCACAGAAGGGGAGTAGCAAAAAAACGGGGGTGGCAGACAGAATAAAAAAGAATAGGCTGAAAATCCACGTAGCTGGTAAAGATTATTTCACAAGGTGACTCAATGTAGCAGTAATTCTACATAAAGGCAGGACAGCAACCCAGGTTTAAAACAATAGTCACATTTCCAGTAACATGCACTTCTCATTTCTTTGGTGAAGGGATTCTGCGTCACTTCTATGTTGAAAAAGTGTCCAAGAGAGAATTTGAAGAACTTCCTTACTTCAAGCAGATAACAAGGACAACCCCTAGTAAGTAAAATTTTGACCTCTTCAAATTTCTTTTCTTCATATAATCATAGCCTTGAAAAACCACTCTATTTTACTCAACACAGTCAAACAGATGTACTAATTTTTCCTCCAGTACATGGCTCCAATATTTTAGAAGTTAGATTTAAATAATCAAAATACAGCAATTTAAAATATAGCTACATATAACAGTAGTTCATGTCCATGCTGTCTTAGTCTCCTGTAATTTGATAAAATACAGGATAGGCTGTTTTCTGCCCATACTGACGTAAGTCTGAAATACAGCTGATGTCAGCACAGCAGCGCAATTTGGATTTATTTAAGTTAACATGTCAAGTTACCCCAATTTTTTAGAAAGTCATTTAGAAGGGAAAAATTCAGAGATGATTCAAGGAGTTCTCCTACATACATATACATTTGAAAGAAGTCTTTCCTATGTTCTTAACAATATCTTCATTATTAAAATCTGTCTTTTGAAAGGACATGTAATTCTTTTATCACTCTTGATTCAATTTCTTTTTTGTATTTCATCCAGCTTGTGATATGAAACTTAATTTGATAGTTGAATTAAGGTATAGACATTTTTAGTTCCCAGTTCTTTTGCATTACAAGTTGTCATTTTTTCTGAGGTCTCTAATTAGGCAAGGAAGTATTTTTCCCACAAACAATATATTCTTGATAATACAGGCTTAGTGAGAAGCAGACACCCTTTCATATAAAAAGTTTCCTAATTTTTTGCTGTCAGCCTTCCATAAGTTTATCATTGTTATTTGTAATACAGTATTCTAGTTACCAGGACAGCGGGCATTTCTATTAACATTATCAAAAATGTATAGAAATATTAATATCCAGCAAACATAGTTGGTGTTCCTCACAGGTAGGCACAGTTCATGGTGTGTAAAACACTTTTAGACTTGTTGCTTCCCAACTTTTAAATACTTTGGTTTGCCATTAGAGTTAAATTTTTACATCACTCTGTCATAAAGCAGAGTATCCAACGTCATAAATGGTTGAATAAATAGGGTCAACTTACAGTACTACTTAATTAAAGAAAGGAATAATATTCTGGTCCTTGTTTATTATTTTTAACAAAGTTATTTTGCATGGAATATGTTACGTGATTGTAAGATACTCTGAATATTTTCCATGGGAGGATTGGACATTCTCTCTTTGACCATTGTGAATCAGTTGGTCTAGAGAATGCTTGTAAATGTCTTCAAAGTTCCCTATGCCCTTTTCTAAGTCAGTATCTGTCTCCTTTGTATTTTTGTTTTCAGGCCAGTGGAAAATATTTAGCGAGGGAGAAGCTCAGATCAGCCAAATGTGTGAAAACAGAGTGTGCAGGACTGAGCTCGAGGATTTGGTAAAGGTTTTGTACCTTGAAAAGTCTGAAAAGGGTCACTGTTAAGGGAGACAGCACTGGAGGGAGAAACACAAGAAAACTTATGAAAACTTGGATCTGCAGCTGGACTGCAGGCTTATTTTGCTTAAGTCAACAGTTCCCTAAAACCCAAAACTATAATGCAGTAATTATTCACATCATGCACAGCAAATCTGCTGCTTTATGTGTAGTGGTCTGTGTCAACCGTTCAAATATCTCCTCCAAAAGACTAGGAGGCTCTGTATTACTGGTGGGAGAAGGAGAAAGAGAGACTGTACTTTCCCAGAGTTGCATTTCTTTACAAGTTACAAAGAGAAAACAGAACATTTTTATTATTATTATTATTTGGCAAGTTATTCAAACTAATGAAAAGAAGGACACCTAATAAATGTGCAGGAGCTATGGAGAGCATTATTTCCTGTGCTGAGTTTATACCATTTCTGGTGTTGAAATGACTCATGGATTTTTTTTTAGTAGTGGAGGAAAAATACAAGTGATACAATACTTGTGTTGGAGACATAAAAACAGATTTAAACTAACAAACTCCTAAGCAGCCTGCCTTTGGGATGATGTCTTGTAGTTGAGCAAACTGAGTCCATAAACTGAACAGCAGGTGTTAGTGGCAATCACTATATTTTTGTAGCAATTTGAGCAAATGTTCGCTTTTAAGTGGTTTTCACTGTTTCCTCCACCCACTTCTCTAAAAAATGTAAAGTGTTAGCTCCCTATCACAGCCCTAATAACTTCATTCTTCTGGGCCCTATTAACACATGGTCTTGGCTGATAAACTGCCTTCTAAAGTGACTGCCAGAAGGTGGTGAAGTACTTGCCCTACTTTCAAAACACCTAGAGGGTTAAAACTCCTGATTAGTAACTCCTTAAGAGTTGTGACAGTGCTTAATTTATTTGTTCTGATTTGTTACAAACCTAATCTGCATTTTTCTGAGAGTAACCTCTCAATTCTCACACTTCAAGGACAGCTCTCTCCCGTGACAAACACCAAACAGCTACAGCAGGCCTCTAGAGCACAGCAGTTCTGTGGAAACTTATCTTTGTGAAAAACAAATCTGAGAGATTCTGTTAAATTTAGTATAGTGTGTCTACAGTGTGTTTAAGAAAGGTGGCTCTCATCTGCAGAAAAAGTGTAATTTAAAAAAATATTTTCTCTGAAGAGTCACCAAAATACTGCACTGCCTCGTGGCTGCAATGTTGGATTAAATCCCAAGAAGCAAGTGACTCTGCCTGCTTTTGCTCCCATTTTCTACTCCACAAGCAGACAGGAATACTGCTGTTCAAACACACGCTAGGAAACAAAGCTTTATGGAAATGGTGTGAGCCAGGGGCTGGGTCTTCACAGGGAGTGAAATCAACATTGACAGCAAGGATTTTGAGGTTTGTCATTCTGCCAGTGACAGCACTCCAGGGTGTACCCATTTCTAAAGCGACGAAGGTGGGGCAGAGTTCAGTGCTGAATGCCAAAAGCCCATTTCAGGCAGAGCTTCACCATCCTGAGGGGATCCTTGTCTTGAGCAGCAAACCCTGGCAGCCTCCCTCTGCAATGCAGGCCTCAGGGCCAGGCTTCTTCATGCCGCCCCGGTCCTGCCTGTGCTGCCCGCAGCGTCGGGAGGAGTGTAATGCAGGGCTTCTCAACAGAGAGGAGCAAGTGAGGAGAACAGACATGAAGGTGGAAGAAAGGCTGAAGGGAATTAGGAGAATACATATAGGGTGATCTCAGGTCCTTAGCAATCTTGCCTGCATATAACCACCCTGTTGTCCCTAGGCCTGGGCAGAGAGCAGATAATATTTAGCAATACTTCCCTCCCTGCCAAGCACTCAACATGGTCCACTGCATAGCAGGAAAACATGCTAAAAGGGAGCTCCTCCAGCAACCGCGTGGATTTGCAAGAACGAAATACTCTCACCTGGTATCAGTAAGAACCACGGGGGTCTCTTTCCAAGCCTCCGTGGGCTGCAGGGAAATCCTCCGGAGTCCCTCCATGGCCGCAGGGCCGTCCCTGGGGGGGCCTGGCGCGCCTCCCCCCCCTCCTGCCCGGCCCTCGGTGCGGCGGGGCTGTTCCTCACACTTTGTCCCTCACCCCTCGCCGCCCGTCTTGCCCTTTCCTCAACACGCCTTCCCCTCACAGAGGGGCTCAGCTGTGCCCTGCGCTGGGGCCGATGGAACCGGCTGGAACCAGCTGGAACCGTCCGTGTCCGGCATGGGGCAGCCCCTCAGCTCTCCTCAGAGGGGAGCCCGCCGCCCCGCTGCCAGCACCTGGTAGCGCTGATACCCTTCCACAGCGCAGTCTTAACGAGCACCTGGCCATTAGAAGTTCTGTATCACTGTTCATTACAGGGAGAGCTAAGGGAACTGTCCCACCACCTTTCCACGGGACTGTAGACTCTGCTTCCATCAATCCTGTCCCGGTGTTTGCAAGGGGTGTAGCGGATCCTAACTGAGGTCCTAAGACCTCACTGCACCAGAGGTTACTGCCGCGTAACTGCAGAAGCAGCAGTCTGGCATCAGCAACAGCCACTGCACGTGGCATCTACTGGGTTGAAATGTGCTGCAGAAGTGCAAAATTGTATTATAAATCTAACAGGTCACGAATTAACCTTATCGTTCCTTTGGTGAAGGCATTGTAAGGAAGAGGTTCTGAGGAACTGTAGCGAGCTGGTGGGAAGACCAGCAGTTGATTTCTCACCTCACAGGCATCGTCTGTCTGTAGCAGTAGCTGGCGGAAAAAGACTAAGTGGAAAGTGTACAGCGTTTGTAATATTTTTTTTTTAAGAAGAAGGCAACCTGCTTTTTGTATTTGTGACAGGACAGGTGGAATCCAGATTGTGTATTTATTTTATAATAAACGCTTTTTAAGAAAAACAAAAAAAACCCATAAGCATCATTTAGTAAAATGCAGTGTTGCATTTTTCCAGTTTCTGGTCACTTAAGACAACAAAATACACAGTGTTATATTTTTTGTTCTCTTCATGGGACATATGTCTGTTATGGTATTATTTATGTACTTGTTGTATCACTTTGACCTGGTTTGATAAATTAATAAACTCTGAAGTTGATAACAAAACAAGACGTTTTGTGTATGACGCTGTTTGGTCAAGATGTCTGGTTTCAGTTCCCTGTTTGCAGACCTGCTGTTGCCACCTCAGAGAAAGCCTGAACCCGCGCACCCGGCTGGGTGCAGTGCGTGGCTGCCTGCTGTGGAATCAGGTACAGAGCGATGGAAGAGTCAGATTCAAGACTTAGACTGCTGGACGGGGTGCAAAGTGAGGCTTCAGCACTCACCTGCATCCTTAACACTTCAAGTGTGAGCTTGAACCACGTGGACTTCAGCAGTGCACCTAAGATGCCAGTTTATCAAAAACCTAAGAGATATTCATAGGTTATGAGTGGTTGTGACTTACCGTCACTTATAACCGGGCCTGAGAAGCTCTGTGGAGCGCACTCATGGCAGTCCCAGTAAACTCAGCAGGATTGTGTTGCCCTCCACAGACAAGTTCGCTTCAGTTAATTAACTGTTGCAATATGCTGCAGTGTTTAATCCATACGGGTGGTAATGTTGCTCCCATTTAAGTCTGTTTCAGACCAACGCAGTAAAATCTTGCTGTAACTCAGCATCCACAGGGTTGATGCTGAGCCCTGACTGCTCACTACATCTGAAAATCAGACACGTAAGGCTTGCAGCAGGACAGCTGTGTCCCCGGTGCTGCAGTAGTTCATTGTTTCGGGTCTTCTCTCGGGAATGTCTGCTGCAGAATTTTGCAAACCAACGTATACTAGCACTCATCCAAGCTAAATTGAAAAGCTATAGAAATTGTCACAACCTGGGTAACGCAAACAGAGAAATTAGAACAATCAGCAGGATGCTCAAACTATTAGCTTATTTAAATTGTTTAATCTCGAGAGCCACGACTGTTTGCTTTCGGGACTTGTTAGTAGGGCAACAATAGTATGCCAGGGAGACAGCATATATAGATTTTCTGCTCAGAGATATGTTTGACCTTTGGGAAATACCCAATTTTATTCAGCTTGCACCTACCCAGCATGATTAATTTTGAAAATCAAAGCATTGACATCCATATATGGAAACCAAGTAAAGAAGAAATCGAGATTGACAACTGAGAGAATAGTACAGGACATATTGCTTTCTGGGCAATACATATTCTGAAGCTCAAAATAATCGGGGAAATGTTGATGGAATCCATCTGTGCTAATGACTAAAAAGAGATGGTCTTAAAAAACACAAGAAAAAAGTGTAAAATGTTAACTCACACATGGCTAGCAGTGTAACTAAAATGGAGAGTATCAGCCTTGGGAAAGATGATTGTTCAAAGTGGTTCCACACCAGAATCATTCTGAATCAATAAGTACATCAAATCTGAAATTCAAGATGCCTCTGTTAATTCTTCATGAAATTCATTTCTGTTATTTCATCACAACCTGCACATTCATCTTAGCCACCTTTTTATTTTAGCAAGGCATCTGTTAGAAGAATCCTTTCCATGAGGGCACACCCTAGGCATGCATACCTGCTCTGCTCTGATCTCCTGTACCAGCCCCCTTCTCCAAGCCTAACTATCTGAGGGGCGTTAGCCTTCCTAGTAGTTGCAGACTGAAAGTCACTAACACTCAGGGTTGCATCCCCATTGAATGTATTCTCTTGATTTCGTAACATCCAAACACTTTTTAGCAGCACGCTAAATTTTGTTTCTTGCTTCACTCCTATTCCCCTCATGTAACACAGATCATCTCTGACTTCACAGGCCAGGGGGGGCTGGGTACCGAGAGGAGAGCCCTATTCACTGCTGTGTTCTTCTGAAATTACTTTTAAATATACCTACCCAAATACATGAGAAAAAATGTGTCAGCCTAACACTCTCATCTTCATACACTCTCCATTACAAAAAAGGTCAAACCATTTCACAATTCAGATGATTAATACTTCCAAAATAATTGATAGCACATGAAGTATTTGCGTAATATTGGTGTGCTCTGGTGCCTGTTGTGTTATCCATCTAAGATAAAAGCCAAGATTTTGGAGATTTATTGTGGGAGGGGTGAAAATTGACAAAGTTAATCCTTATTTCCATTTATTGCTTTTGTTTGGGGTTTGAAAAATGTCTTCATCTTCTGATCTGAGGTTTTGGACTGTTTTACTTCTTGGATAAAGTATGTCTGCAACTACATGAGTATATGAGTATGAACCCACAACCCTGCCCTTCTCACATAACACCAGCCCAACTGTGAGCAAGAATGCAAAGCATCCAAAGCAAAAACAAATAATTGATTTTAACCCTGCAAAACAGCTTTTAATGTAGACACACTGGATGACAGTTCAGCATGTTCAGAAAAGGCAGTGAGTGAGCCTGATTTCACTACCACTCAAAGTAAAAACTCCCAATCTGTCCTCAAATGACCTCAGCTCAAGAGACGGAGATAGTACAATCACAGTAAGCTTTAAGTGTAGCTAACTGCTTCTCAAACAGCACCCATAGTTAGTTGATCTCTCCACCAAGATCAATTCTATCTCCTATAGATTTACTTCTCCTGTTTCATTCTGCTTCATTTGGTTGTTTCAGGATCACACCACCACAAAATCAGGTGTGTTAAGGCCACAGTAAATTAAAAGTGCATTCTATTCCTACTGAAGCAAATAGCAAAACTCCCAATCCCTTTAAGAAGGGGTCCCTGAAGAACTCATACTGATACATACTGCACTGGCATTGAACACATTTTAGTGTGCTCTAGTATTTAGCATGTACCAAAGGTCCATTTTATATTTGTCACAGACAGATTCCCAGCCACTTAATGTTCCTTAGCCAGCACTGTTACTCTTAGGCTGTTCTTCTTCCCCAGCTCAGTTCTCCCCTCTGCCAACAGCTAGGATGGGACAATGAATTTGAGTCCTAATTTTAGAGGCATAAATAGGAGTCAAGTGATGCTTAAGGTTTATGTACTGGGGTATTTTTGTTCCACATCTCTAAATGGGAAGAT